TTTTTTTAAGAAGCATATTCTTTCCATTCTTGCCCCTTGGTTGTGGTATCATCTGAAACACGTAGGAGGTGTCTTATAGAATGGAACCACATATCCGAAGCTCTATTTTTATGCTAGAACAAAATGTAGCTTCGGAGAAGAAACATTTCTTTGAAATACATTATGCCTGCCTTTCTCTCTTAATGACCTAGAGGATGGGGGGATTCATTTTGAAATGTGAAGCCAGGATATACACTGGTGGTACACTAATGCAGGCTGCTTGGCATTATAAACTCCATTTGGTTTCCTAATTATAATCCCCCACCTCTGGGTAGTTATCCATCAGGACATAAATTATTGTACGTGCTTAAATTGTTCATCTGCATTGTATATATATACTTTAGATGGTAAATACTTGAGTCTTTTCTATGAACAAAGTTAACATTCTTTGGAATAATAAAGTAGGCAATCATCAGTAAGAGTCATAAATTTTCTCCTACTTTATAAAGTTACTTGAAAGGAAAAGAGAAAAGGAAAGAAAGAATGATGGCTTAATGGTGGTATAAGACTATTTTTTTAATTACTAATTTGAATCAAAATGTAACCAATCACAGTTCTGGGGAATTCCTATCACTGGAGTTTTACCTGTTGTATTCCAACAGGTAAATGAAGCAGTTGGATGAGATCGCTAGACTATTTTCCAAACTATAAACTGGGACATGACCTCATAAGGGATTTTTTTCTTCTGAGTTGTGAGTATATCCTGTGTCAGATTCCTAAAAACTCCTGACAGTTTCTTAAGTCCCTACCTAATTGCTGAATAATAAGATTTATTTCTACCACCTAGTTATTTCTTTGATTTCTAACTTCATTTAATTGTCAATACATCCTTACACTGACATGCCAAGTTGCTTAAGCTCAATGTTTCATGAGGGCATAAGAGACTGGTTGTCCTCTGCTTTTCTATGAATGTTATGAACTATTGTTGTGGTCTTACTTGATGTCAGGGCTCATAAAAACATATTGGTATCAAGGCCTGTATTTCCTTTTGACATAGCAACTGTCATTGTTTCAGAATGATTTATAAAAAGCACAGGAACCTCTTACTTAGTGACTCTCTTAGCTAGGTATGATCTTAAAGTAACTTTTTCATAGTCTTTATACTTCTGGAAATTGTTTCTCCTGTCAGTGTGTATCCTTTACTGATTAGCTCAGTTGGTTAGAACATGGTGCTGGTAACACCAATGTCCAGGGTTTGATCCTTATACCAGCTAGCCACCAAAACAAAAACAAAAACAAAAAAACAGTAATTGTTGAGGTATTCAATATGTAAATTGTATGATTTATTTATATCTCTCAAATGGGGTTTACATGTCATTACTTCTGGTATCATTCATTTTAAAATGTCATGTAAGCCATTATTTTAAATTATAAAAGCAGCAAATGTTTCTTTTTTAAAAAATCAAACATTGCAGAAGAGTATAGAGTAAAATGTAGAAATTCTCCTTCCCCATATTCTAGCCTTCACTGTCAGTCTTCAAAAATAATCACTGTTAACAATGTCTTAAATTTCTTTGCATAAATTTTCTAAACATATACAATGTTACATGTATTTATAAGAACACACTCATTTTTACACAAATAGTTGTACTATACATAGTGTTCTACATCTTGCCTTTTATTTTCCCACTTAAAATACCTGGACTCTGTCATGTTGGCACATATCAATCTTTCTCATTCTTTTTAACAACTACGTGGCATTTCATTATATGTACATACCATAATTTTTTGATGAACATTTAAGTAATTTCCACTTTATATCTGGTTGTTGTTGAAGTTCTATTGTTCTAATTACAAAAAGGAACATTCTCCTAGAAGTAAAATTACCGAGTCAAGGAGCACATTTTTAAAATTTTGATGAGATATTTTCAAATTATCTTCCAAAGAGCTTGCACAAATTTACACTTCCACCAGTATTATCTGAGAGTGTTTCCACATCCCCATCTGCCTATCTTCCTTTGAGGTTTGAAATTTCTGCCATTCTAGGAGATAAAAATTGTTACTCCTTTTTAATATACGTTTGTTGGATTAGGGTGGACTGAGCATTTTTTTCGTAAGATTAATGGCATTTGTATATTTGTATGAACTTCCTATTTTGTGTCCTTTCTCCATTTTTTTTTTTCTGTTAAATTATTAGTCTTTTGCTATGTTCATTTTTATGAGAGAAAAAGAAATCCTTTATTAGGATAGGCTACCATTTAATAGATAACCCACCGAAAGTTCATGGGAAATCATCAGTGTATATATTCTATTCATGAACTCTTGTATAACTGCTCACCCACTGGAAGCACTAAAAGAAAACATAAGTGTAGCCACATAACCTAATGAGAGAAAGAAAACATTCTCTCTGGGATAGATGTGGGGACTGGCCTCACTTTTCCTATTGATTTTCTATTGCTATATAAAAAATAACTCAAAATTTAGCAGATTAGCTCACAATTTCCCTGGGACAGGAGTCTGGGCACAGCATGACTGGCTTTTCTGCTTAGAGTCCCACAAAGCTAAAATCAAGGTGTTGGCTGGCTGTGTTCTCATGTGGAGCTCTGGATCTTCTATGTTCTTGTGGTTATGGCAGCATTCAGTTCCCTGCAACTGTAGGACTGAACTCCCTGCTTCCCTGCAGGCTGTCAGCTGGGGGCCACTCTCAGCTCCTAGAGGCCCACATTCCTTGCTGCATGGCCCCCTCCATCTCCAAAGCCAGCAAAGGGGATTATCCCTTGTGTTGACTCCTTATGCTTTGAATTTCTGACCTCTAGACCCAGACACAGGAGTTCATGTGATCAGGTCAGGCCCAATGGGACTACCTATTTTAAGGTCAGCTGAAGAGCAAAATCCCTCCACAGAGCACCTAAATTACTGTTTGATTGACTATCTTGGAGGAGGTGCGTGTACACCAGGGGCCAGGATTCTTGCTGCCTATCTCAGAATTCTGCCTCCCACACCCTCCACCTACCTTCCTTGAGGGAAGCAGACAGAACTCTTATCTTTTGCCTTAGGAAATCAAATGGAAACATCCAATGCCAGAGGAAGGAGTCATGACTAGCCTCCATCTAACTCCACATACAACAAAATAAATCCATGTGGGTCAAAGATCTTGATGAGAGCAATGAAATAGCAGAAAACCAGAGGAAAAACTAGGGAACCACACGTACTAGGTAGGGGGTCAGACAGACTTTCCTTGACCATGGATCCAAACCTGGCATTTCTGACTCCAACAACTGCCCTCTTGACCTCCATGCTTACATGGCCCACCCAGAGGACAGGTCATTCACTGGCTGCACTAATGGATTTTGAGTCCTCTATCTAACCTTATTGTTTCTTCTTGATACCAGTGTGACCAGAGTGTGCTTTTGTGAGATGCTGGCCTTGGGTTTTCAATACAACAAAGTAAACTGAAGTAGGTGAGCCACTAAGGGGAACCATATCGATGAGCACTATTCTCAAAGAGCATTCTCCTGTCCCTCTGTCTCTCTCTTTCAACCTCTCACCTGATGCTGTGATTCAGGCGCATTATACGTGACTTGCTTGAGACTGAAGAGATTTATATAAAAGAAATTAAGAGCATAATTGATGTAAGTAGATTTGCGGGGTGGGAGGTGAGTGTTAAATGTACATGCAAACTGGAGAAGTTTTGTTGTACAAAGAGACTCAAAATAGTTGCCATATCTCTAGAATTCCCACCAAGGTTTCAGGTCTTAGAACATCACGAGTGTCTCTCCAGTAGAAATAGGTTAAGAGCATTCTGATGGCTCATGATCCACGTAACCAAATAGCTCCAAAAGATTATGCCAATTCATACTGATTCCAGCAATGTCCAACTGGGTTCATCATAGGTGTGCCAATAAAGGATATTATAAATGAAATTTTTTTGATACTTTTAAAAGGAAAGATTGTTTCTCATTTTTTAGAGTAGCCTTTTTCCTGGAGAGTAAAAATACGTATTTCCCTTCTTTTCCCAAGGGAATAATCTTAAGGAAAAAACTATATGTACAAAGCTATTTATTATAACATTTTTCAACAATAAACTATCAGAAGCAACCCAAATGTCCAATAAAAAAGGGAAATGGTTAATAAAGTATGATATACATGCTGCATAAAAATTATTCAACTGTTAAAAAATAATTTTGGATAATATGTAGCAACATGGAAAAATGCCCTGATATAAGATTAAGTTAAAAACAATATATACGTAGAACTTTATAAGCTGAGTCTTAAATGTACATGGAAATACAATATAAAATTATATATGTATTGTGATTATAACTAAATCAAATGAGCTTTTTAAAAATCATGAAGGAAATATAAGAAAATGTAATAGTAATTGCATCAAGTCATAAAATGATAGGCAAGTTTTTTCCTTTCTTTTACATTTGAATTGTATAACTTACATTTTTTTAAAAATTTGTTTTTCCCATAAAAATGCCATTTTATTTTCATTGCCATTAAGCCCTCTCCTTCTGAAGGTTGAAGATGATAGCAAAAGAAAGTATTTGCTAAAATAGCTTTCAGGAAACATGTGTCCTGTATTCTCCAATTATTTCATTAAAGTTCTGGTTCCTGGGGTAGCTAATTCAGATCATCTCTTTTATGTTCCTATCTGTAAAACCTACCTTGTTTCCACCTCTGCAGGGATATATCACTCCAATGGATTTTATCTGGCTGAAGCATCTGATTCCAGATGTTCTTCAGAATAACAAGGACTTTCTCTTTGGGAATATTACAGAACTTTATGAATTTCACAACAGGTATATAATTCACATTATCAGGAAAAATGGAAAGTAAGAGAAGGGTGGAAATCAGACTGATGGAATTTGGAGATGAAAGTGCTTACACGTTTTCAGCTTAAGCAAGTGGTTTGGAGTCAGTGGATTGGGTTGAGGAGGGATGGGGTGCGAAGGCGGGGAGAAGCTCCACAGGATCCCTGAGGACTGTGGAGCATGTCCTGGGTGTCAGAACTGGAAAAGAAGGGACTTTTTAGAAATTGTCTTTCAACCCTTTCATTTTGCCCATGAGGAAACTGCAGATTGTTAACTCATTTTACTCACTGTGATGTCCCCAAGATCGCACACCTAATTAATGAAGTGGGAAAGACTGCTTGGTGAATTGAACCACGGTTGTTTCCTAACCCCCTCCCTTGTCTATGGGTCAGAAACAAAACTGAAATGGAAGCCCATTTATGCTACTTTCCCTAGAGAGGCTATTCAGCTTCTTTGAGCCTCAGGTTTTACATATATGAACCCTATCTTGCAAGATTTGGTGTAGAATTAAATGAGATATTGTTTGTGAAGCACTGTGCTTATGCCTGCTTCAGCTTCTTTGAGCCTCAGGTTTTACATATATGAACCCTATCTTGCAAGATTTGGTGTAGGATTAAATGAGATATTGTTTGTGAAGCACTGTGCTTATGCCTGCCTTATAGTAAGCTCCCAGTGATATGGGTAATAGCAGCAGCAGCAGTTCTTACAAACATCATCATCCTGTCGTGGGGAGCATCAGCATATCCAGTTTGTCCGTGGCTAGTGCATAGAATTATCAGAACAGGGTGTGGCTGGTTTCAGGGTAACCATAATGACTCAGAAACTTTTTTTTTTTCTTCCAAATCAGTGTGTAGAAGATGAGTCAAGAGCGATAAAGCCTGGAGAACAACATTTTTCTAGGCACCTCTTAAAACCTTATGTGATTTTACTTTTGAAAAAATTTTAACCCCATGCATGTAAAAATCAAGGCTTTGTTATATATACTTTTATTTCCCTAGGACTTTTCTAAAAGAATTGGAAAAGTGCGCTGAAAACCCTGAACTTCTGGCACATTGCTTTCTCAAGAGAGTAAGTCTGTGTTCCCAATAAATCAAAATAACCATGTGATTAAAGTCAGCCCTTAATTCTGTGCAAGAGCAAATGGAAACACCAGTGGTCTAAAACTTACATCTGCTTTCCCTGAGCCCTCTGCTTTATTGAAGTATACCTGACAAATAAAAATTGCACATATTCAAGGTGTACAATATGATGGTTTCATATATGTGTACACTGTAAAATGATTACTGCAATCAAGTTAATTAATACATCCATCATCTCTCATATTCACCATTGTGTGTGCGTGTGTGTGTGTGTGTGTCTGTGTAATCTAAAAAAGTTGAACTCATAGAAGCAGAGTAGAAGGGTGTTTGCCAGGGGCCAGGGGTAGGGAAAATGGGGAGATGTTGGTCAAAGGGTACAAACGTTCAGTTGTAGGATGAATGTAACACATTGATTCTGGAGATGTAATGCACAACATATTGACTATAGTTAATAATACTGTACTGTATACTTGAAATTTGCTAAGAGAGTAGATCTTATACCTGTCTTTTGAATGTGAAACGGGAGGCCTTTACAGCACTGTTGGCATTCCTATTCTCCCTCACTTCATCCATGAGTCCAGTTTGACTGAGCTCACACTGATAAGTGGGAGAAGCTGCCAGCCTGGTTTCCTGCAAGCCCCATGAAATTGGAGGCTGGCCACCCAGGGCCCCCAAAGCAGATGACCCTCTTCTGAACAACTGATTTTAGGACAATAATTATACAGCAGGCTTAAAGTACCATGTTCTCAAGAGAAGTACTGGTGTTAAACTAAAAATCTCAGAAAATATATTTTCTTCCATTTTATTTTTTACAGCATAGAAGATGATTAGAAATATTTAAATCTACAGTCTCTCTTAGGCTTAGCACCCAATTTGTGAACTTCCTGACTTACAATAACATACCTCCAACTACCTCGCCTTCCTCACCACTCAGAATTCTCACCTCTTCCCCTGTTTCTCCACCCCTGCTTTGGTAGATAAACAAGCTGTTTGGGCCAATGGGAGCTGGCACTGAGAAATGTTTTACCCAACACTGTTCCCCACCACATGCTTTCTTCCCCTTTAGGATGGCCATGCAAATGATCCTAATGCCCTGCACTTTCTAAATCTTTCCAATTTCTCCTTTCTCTCCCAGCTAGCCGTTCTAATTCTCTTTCTTGTTTTTCTTTTTGTGTGCCCACGACAACAGATCAAACAACTTAAAGTTTTTTAAACAACCCAAATAATGGCTAAGTCTGAGAGTAATACTTGTGATAAATTGAAAGCAAGCAAACAAAAATGTCCAGATTTCAAGGTATTTGACATAATGGAGAAACAGAGTCTTTAACCAGCAGAGCCCTTCCGTGGTCCTGCAGGGACTCTCCAGCCCCAGCACAGGCTTTTCAAGTGCCAGAACTCCAGAGACACTAACCACTACCTGTACTCACTCTGATTCATTTCCTTTTTGAATTACTGTAACATTGTTAGTGTTTTGCACTTATTTGAACTTTTGCACTTTTGCACTCATCAAAGCACTAATGTGAAATCTAGTTTCAGAGTTCAGAAATATTTTATGGTTGGTTGTCATTAATGCGAAGATCATTTAAATAGTTGAATGAGCTAAGGGCCAAATTCCTGTGGGAAAGAAATGCATATTATAAAATAAAGATTGTTCAAATTTGAGGAAATGGTCAGGGAATCGCTGTCTAAACATCTTCTCTTGAAAGAATTTCTTTCCTAAAGTTTCACAAAGCTTTTTATAGCCCCCCGTGTTGAGAAGACTCTTGGAAATCATTAATCCAGACTGCAAATCCTCATCTAATCTTACATGATTTATGAGGTTGGAGACAAAATACAAGTAATAAATTTCATCAAGCACGAAGTTATTCTCTAAGACAAATGGAGTAATTAAAAACACGATTACCTAACCTCTGAGACTTGCTGGAGGGAGATCACAAACTCCTATGGGTTCGCTAGTGAGGCAGACCCATCACTCTTTACTATAGCAGTTTAGTGTTTCTCAATAATGTTTGAAGAATTCCACTAATCTTGGAAATGAATTTTGAAATATTCTTCTGGCCAAGTGTTTAAATCAGACTCTGCAGCCTGTATCATCCAGGAGGAGTCTTCCCCAGAGACCATGCTCTTTACAGAATACTGTTTGTCAGTAGTTCACTTTGAGTTCCGATTGTTCTGAGGTCTCACATGGCAAAATGGAAATAGCCTGGGATGGGAGTCAGGAAACATAACTTCTCATCTAAGTTGAACCTCTTGCTATATGCATGACCTCAAGGAAATAACTGAAACCCTTGGAATCTCACTTTCCTCCTCCATACCATAAGCTTACTACTGCCAGTATATAAAGTTGTCGTGGGAAACAAATAAAATAATGGATGCAGAGGAATTCTACAAAGTAAAGTTTTTTGACAATAGCTACCATTTGTTGAGTACTCTGCATATACTGGTCATTTGTTAAGAGGTTTCTATGCATCATCTCATTTAATCTCAGAGCAATCATAGGAGTTGACCACTGTTACGAGCCCAACTTAACACTTGAGGAAATTGAAGTCTAAGAAGGTCTCAGGCCATATCTTTTGTAATTGACAAAGCCAAGAACTGAACTTGGACCATTTACCACCAGATTCCGTATTCTTAATCCATTAGTAAGCCAAGTCTCCTTGTGTGGATATGAGCTTTTGGTAACAATTTTATAGCCTCCTGATTTATTCTGTAAGGAGGTCATGGGAATCAGGCACTTTCATATGTTACTGATTAGTGCATATCCTTTCTCCAAGGAGTTTTGGACTGTTAGCCTGTAGAAGAGCAAATTTAGGTCAACAGTTATATTTTGGTACTTGAAGTCCTATATAATATTCTGTGTTGCTCAAAGGGAAGAATCAGGACCAAGGGATGAAGGTTTCAGGAAGGCAGGTTTCAGCTCAGTACACGTCAGTAGAACCGGGTCCCTTTGTCACTAGGAGAGTTCAGGAAAACGTGGTTGACTGTCAAGGATGTTGCACTGGGTGGGAGACTAGGTCTCCAAAATCTCCTCCAGATTCTGAGAGTATTCTGGTGGGTGAGAGTTGAAAGCACTGAGACCTCGAGCTGTTTTAGGCACTAGTGGACAGTGTCTTTGTGCTCTGACAGACCAAATGTGTATGAGATGCTTTAATCTCACCCATATGTACATATACACACATATATACATATGGGTACTTCAAAAAGCTTATGGAAAAATTAAATTAAAAGATTATACAGGGCTGGCCCGGTGGCGCACTGCGCTAGTGCGCCGCTTGGGAAGCGCGGCGTCGCTCCCGCCGAGGGTTCGGATCCCACATACAGACCGGTTCCCGCTCACTGGCTGAGCGAGGCGCGGGGGCAACACCGAGGGTTGCGATCCCGTTGCCGGTCCCGGTCCGGTACGGGGGCGACACTGAGGGTTGCGATCCGTTGCCGGACACAGAAAAAAAAAAAAAAAAAGATTATACAAATCCTTCCATGAACTTATTGAAGTGCCTTTATATATATACATTAATGTAATGTTTTATAAGCCTGGCATTCAGTATGGAAAGAATGTTCCTCACGTTTAGGCTACTATACTATGTGAGCCATTGAGTTTAACAAATGTATTTAGCACAGTGCCTGGCATATCAAAGGCTCTCAGTAGATAGGCCTTGAGTGAATGAATATTGGGCATATTATTGTTAAGCTCTAAATTATTATTCTGGTTCCGCAGCCAGTCTGAACAACATTTTTTAAGGGCTATCTCTCCACCTAAATGTGTGCATGTATAATTTTTCTTCCTGGAGGGAGCAGCAAAGGACAGAGTTGCTGCAGTTTTTGTGCTCAAATGACCACTAACCCTCTATCTGGAGAGAGGAAGAACTACAGAAATGGAAGTCATCCACCGTAGCAGTGTGTTCAGAAGTAAAATAGACATCATTGAAGCTGGAAGGGAAAAAATATCCTATGTTGACATGAAGGAAATCAAGAGTTGGCCTGAGCAGGAGGGCAGGAACACAGAAATCTGCAAGGAGGTGGCACATGGGCTTCACCACCACAGCAGCATGGGCTCTGTGGTCAGCAAGCTGACTCCATAGGTGTGGGGTGTCCTTTCTAACAGGGGTATTGGCAGATGAGTACTCACATTTCTTTAACGAGAATCAAGGTCACACAGCACTTTGAGCCCTTCGTGGTCTCAGCTCTGAACTAGTTGCATAACTCTCCCTGTCTCAGGGTCTTGTGCTGCAGGGTGAAAGTGGCATCTAAGGCAGAGCTCGCCACTTTGAGTGTTACCCAGGCGACTTAGATCTCTGTTGTTCAAACTGCTCCTTGTTCCTTCTGGGGTGTTTCTGTCTTTCAGTTGTTTCTTAGGTCTCTTTGTGGGGTTGGCAACATGATGACTGTTATAAGGAGAGGGTGGGAAGAGAGAAGGGAGAGCCATCAGCCACCCACGTTTTTCCTGTCAGTTGTCTCACTCACTGCAGAGCTGTTGTGGGGTGATGGTGTCCTGGACAAACAGCAGGAGAGGAAAGATAAAGATAAAAACCAACTCCTGCTGGTGCATTTACTTATTTGTTTACCAGTAGCCCCTGTAGATGCTTCCACAGTCCTGTGTGCATGTCTGTGTTTAGTACTTATGGTGCTTTCTAGCCCTCTGTTTTATTCCCATCACACAACCCAACGTAAGGTTATTTATCTTATGTCTCCACTTCCTTACACTTTGAAATACTCAGGCTTGTTGAATGAATGCATAAACTGTATTGTCCCGTACACTCATTGAAAAATGTTACCTGATTGGGCCGGCCCGGTGGCGCACTGGAGAGTGCGCCGCTTGGGAGTGCCGTGGCACTCCTGCCAAGGGTTCGGATCCCATGTGGAGACTGGTTCCCGCTCACTGGCTGAGCGTGGTGCGAGTGCAACACTGAGGGTTGCGATCCCGTTGCTGGTCCCCGGTACAGGCGCGACACCGAGGGTTGTGATCCCGTTACCGGTCAGTAAAAAAAGACAAAAAGGAAAAAAAAAAAAAAAGAAAAATGTTACCTGATTGATTCGTTCTAATTTTTTCCCACCCAGAAAGAAGATCTTCAAATATATTTTAAATACCATAAGAATCTGCCCCGAGCTAGGGCAATCTGGGAAGAGTGTCAAGACTGTGCCTACTTTGGGGTAATGTTGAGATTACGAAGTCTCCCACACATTGTTCTCCCTAGAAAATGTTTATGTGCATCAAATTTTTAAAGAAATCAAAAGTGTGAACTAAGCAGAGGAATTTGGCATTGAGATCTGTTTATTAAAAGTCTCCTATACTTTGAAATTACACTTTAGAAGTTTCAATGATGCCCATGGTCTCTATGGGACAGGCCTGTGAAGAGCAGCCACAGTCTGGTGAGAAAACCAGCATCCTCTTGTAGGATAGGGAACTATGTCAAAAAGGGCACACTTTGGGGCCCCCTGGAATGATATCTATGAGCCATTTCAACCCACAAGGCTCAAAATGACCTGAATAGACTCTGTTCCTCCCCCACATTCCACTTGCAGATGGACTGCCTCATTTTCAGAAGGACTTGAAATGTCCCACTATCTTCTAGTGGACTTGCTTTCTAAAAGGAATAAATGGTCTGGCTTCCCTAGTTGCCTATAAAAATATTAGCCAAGCCATCCCCTTTCCTCTTTCTCTCATTTCACAGTGTTTCTGAAAGACTGCAAAACTCTATAGCGTTATGAAACTTACTGGTCCCTTGTCTGAGAAAAGCCCATTTTGTTTCTTGTATCTAAAGCTGCCACTTTTGATCTATATGTGTATTGTTTGCTAGTTTTGTTTTATGTTGTTTCTGTTTGCCTTTTAAAGGTATGCCAGCGCCAATTGGATCACAATCTCCCTCTTTTTAAGTATCTTGGAGAACCAAGCCAAAGACTCATAAAATACCAGATGCTGTTGAAGGTATAGTCAATGAGACAGTGCTCTTCTGTGCTGGGAAAACTGATGCCTGCACTATGGTGGTCTCTTCCTTAGATGTGCAGAGTTGAGACTTGGTTTTCTGAGGATGAAGATATGTCTATCCTTTGGGCTTTTTCTTTCCTCCAAGTCTAAATCAGCCCTCCTCAATGAGGAATTAGGCCAGAGAATCATATGCTTATGATTATGCTTAATTAATAACGAGCTCAGAAATTAATAATAAAAAAGATGAACAAAAGACAGAAGCTGTTTATGAAAGAATAAATACTAATAGCAAACTGCTTTTTTTAAAAAAGTTCTACCTCATGAATGAATCAATTCACACACATACATACACACATACACACACACACACTCTCACACACACACAAAAAAAACAAACAACAACAACAACAACAAAACAAAACAAAACAAAACAAAAAAACCGGGGGCGGGGGGAGAGGAAGATATAACAACCACAATTTTTTTTTGAAGTTCTTACAACAAGCAAATGGAGGGGACACACTTGGGTGGGAGTGGGGAGAGGGAGGAGGGAGGGAGGTTTCGGTGATGGGACATAATAATCAACTACATTGTATATTGACAAAATAAAAATAATAAAAAATAAATAAATAAATAGATAGATAGATAAATAAATAAATAAAATAAAAATAAAAAAATTAAAAGTTCTACCTCACTAGTTATCTGAGAAATTCAAATGAAAACAACAGTGAGATAGTATTCTCTGCTGATGCAATTGGCAAAGACTTTTGATCAGATAGAAATACTCCATGTAGGCTTGGTGCTGGTGAAACAGGCTTTCGTATTTTGTTGGCAGGAACACAGTCCTTCTCTAAAGAACTCAGAAATATGCCTCAAAACTCTTAACATTTACAATTCCGCCTCTAGGAATTTATATTAGAAAAAATGCACAAAAATTATTGTTGTTATTATTGCAAAAATTGTTGAACTTAAATGTTTAATGGTAGAGGAGACCATAATTCATAATCATAATTATGTCTTATCTATAAGATGCAATACTCTGCCACAATCAAAAACCATGTTTTAGAAAAATATAATGTTATAGGAAAATGTCCTGATATATTGTTGAGTAAGAAAAGGCAGGCTATGAAATAGTGTATAATCTGATTCTATGTTTGTGGGAAGAACTCTGTGCTGACTCTAACACTCATTCTCTCCATCTCACAAATTAACACACATTCTAGTTTAGCATTGGCTGTAAATTGTTTTCACAGTAGATTTTGTTGGTAATCTACTTTTTGATTTTCAATAAGGCTTTTTGGTTAATGCAGGGTCTGCTGGATTTTGAGTCTCCTGAAGATTTGGAGACAGACTCACGTGACCTACAAGGAGGCTCAGCTAAGGTACTGGATATTAAATATTACATTTTATATAACTAATTTTAATGGTGTTTGCCTGTGGATGGGAGGATTTACAGCAATTTTATTTTCCTTTCTTACAATCTTTATTGTCTAAATTTTCTAAAGTAGTATGTATCCTATAATTCATAGTCAGGAACATGTAAAAAAATTAAAGGCAATTTCAAAGTAGGGATTTGTAGCCTGATGAGAAGTGGTAACATATTTTGCAGCCCAGTGAGAAGTGGTAATATATTTTCTTCTTTCCTCATAAAAAACTTTTCATGGGAATTCAAAACTAAGTGAATCTGTAAAATGCATACAGAAAAGATTGGAAATAAATATAATAAAATCTCTGCTGTGGTTTTCTGGCATGATAAGATTATATAAGATTTATATTTTCTTCTTTGTACCGTACTTCTTAATATATCGAACTTGTATACATATTGCCTTGGTCTCCTCCATGCGTGTGTGTGTGTGTGTGTGTGTGTGTGTGTGAATTCTAAGAGAGACTGCAATGCTCCCTTGGAGGAAGTTGTATTAGTCCATTTTTGTGTTGCTATAACAGAATACCTGAGACTGGGTAATTTATAAAGAAAAGAGGTTTATTCGACTCATGATTATGGGACAGCTGCATCTGGCGTGGGCCTCAGGCAGCTTCTACTCCTGCCAAGCAGCTTGTGGGTGCAAGGAGATCACATGGCAAGAGCCAGGAAGCAAGAGACAGACAGGGAGGTGCCAGACTCCTTTTAACAACCAGCTTTCTGGAGAACTAATCCATTCCTGTGAGAGCCCCCACCTCCCATCCCAGGAGGCATCCGCCCCCATGACCCAAACACCTCCCAACACTGCCACATTGAGGATCAGATTTCAACATGAGCTTTGAGGGGACAAACATACCCAAATTACGTCAGAAGTGGAGGCCACAACAGGTTAGGAAGAAATTTATGGCTCAAGCAGTGGGATTTCTTTTCAATTTCCTATAGAATATTTTTATTTTAACAACAAAAACTCGAGAAGTGTCTCAAGGAGCAGTCATTTGCATGCCCTCTCTGCTCAAATGTGTGATGAAGACCCCTTGAACATAGAGGCAGCTTGGGGCACAGGTAATAATTTTATAGCCTAGAGTAAGGGGAGATAGCCTAATTTGATGGGTTTAATAATATGTGTAAAGATGTTTCTGAGCCCTACATTACACAATGTAAAACTAGCTACCTGATGTATTTGTGAGATGAGGGCTAGTGGGAAGGAGAGGGGATAGGAACAGGTAAGTATCTAAAAGGAAGTTGAGTTTTAAGTGTTGGGTAAGGAGGAAGATGACTCGTATGAAAACTTTAAATCCCTTATTGATGACATTAGAATAAACTCAGGTGAGAGTCTGTTATCTTTCACCAGGAGCTGAAATTTATTAGGAGTGAGAAGGTAAGAATCCATGGCACATGGAGAACTGTTCCGTTCACCAGCCTGTCACTCATATCTCTAATCAGCAGCAATTAAGAAAATATATGACTACCTCATGTTGCAGAGGGCAAAAAGAGGTGAGGTTACATGGGGAGCAGCAAAGAGCTACCTATTCTTGTTGTAGAAATTGAAGTGTTAAAAAAAAATACACGGGATAAACCAGAATCTTTTTGTTTGTATTTACCAGATAATAGGTAAATATGCTGTGTAGGAAGAAGGGGAATAAAATACCAAAACCCCAAGCAAAAGCCTTTTGAGCTTAAACAATCATCCTATCACATTCTAAGTGTCACCGTGGTAATAATTGGAACATGGGTCTCTTTAATTAGCAGTTAGTGTTTTTCCACTTAATGCCGAGTCTTTATGTTTGGGAGGCCCAGACCATGTTGGCTTATTTTGGCATCTTTAATGTGGTGGAATATGGGGAGGGCTGGGGGAAAAGTGGAGGGAGGAAGGGCAGAGCTGGGGGAGATTCAATGTGGCAAAAGTGACTATTATGGTTTGTACATATAAATCATTAGTAGACCCCCACATGGCATCCTATTCTTCGCCACTGTACAAGTTTACAAATATTCTCCACTGGGAGATTTTAAGTGCAGTGTAATTTTACCCATACGAATAAGGCTTTCACATTAAATAAAGGAACATGACACTCAGATTGTATTTTTCAATAAGCCCCAGGGGGTAGGGATGTAAAATGGGAAAAAGCCTATTTCAGGGGACTAGGTTTCTTCATGCTTTAAAAAAAAAAAAGCTGTGTTCTATGTGTTTCTTATATAGCAGGAATATAATGTCCATGATTTTACAAACTTTATTCTTCATTAGTATGACATGTGGAAGGTGTAGTAGATAATTTTGCTCGTATATATACCATATATTTAAAGCAGCCAATATCTTTCATCACCATTTTTTGGGAACAGGGAGACAGATCAATGCACCCATCTCTTCAGTCAGCGCTGGCTGGACCCGCAGCTCCTCATTTCTGTCCTGTTTTCCTTCTTCACTTGGTAGATGGTGTACATTTGATTTTTAACAAGGTGTTTATTTTTCATAGAATGGGCCAGAGGAGACCAACCATTCAGCATTCTCAGCTGAACTGCAACAAGCTTTGGTGGTGGTAGAGGATTTGATCAAGTCCTGTGAGTTGGCCATGGACCTAGCAGCGGTCACTGGATGTCCGGTATGTTCAATAGTAAGTGCTGGGACATTTCACACAAAAGGCAGGTACAGTACTACTAAGGCAGGAGAAGCTGCGGAAGAGTTAGAGAAATAATCTACAGTACAGGAATCTGACTCTGAGGAAGACCGTCTAAATCAGTCTGCAAACCTGTGCTACGAGATTCCAAGCAGCACTCAGCATTTTCAAGAATCTTGGGTTCCATCCCTCAGGGTCCTAGATGGTGGGACTGACCCACACTCTGGACAAACTAGAAATTCAGGGGCAAGGACATATAGGGCAGGGAAAAAGTGCTGACAGAGTAATTTATTTTCTAACTCATGCCACTATTAAAGTATTAATAGATTTAAAAGAGTTTCCTTCTTGCCTCAAGAGTTTCTCTGTGAAAAGTATTTTGGGTTTTTTTTTGGGGGGGGCTGTGGTTCTAATTTGCATTTATTTTATTGCTAGCGAGGTGCAATGAATTCAACTCCTTTCCTACAAATTGCATTTTCTGGTAAAGAAGCAAAACACCAGTAAGAATGAACTGGCTCAAGCCTGCGGTCCCAGTCCCTGAGACAGCGTGGAGGAAAAAGAGCATGAATGATAATTTAAATAAGAAGAGCTACCACTTACAGAGCATTTACTAGGATCAAGCATTGTGCCTGACCCATCTATTCACTGCTGTTTTTTTTTTAATTTAATTTTATTTTGTCAATATAAAACATGGTTGACTATTGTGGCCCATGACCAAAACCTCTCTTCCTCCTAACTCTCCCCCCCCCCAAGAATGTCCTTTCTGTTCGCTTGTTGTATCAACTTCAAGGAATTGTAATTGTTGTGTCTTCTTCCCTCCCCAACCCCCAGGTTGTTTGGGTATTTATTTATATATTTATTTTTAGCTCCTCCAAATAAGTGAGAACATGTGATATTTCTCTTTCTGTGCCTGACTTCTTTCACTTAATATAATTCTCTCTAGGCACATCCATGTTGTTGCAAATGGCAGTATTTCATTCTCTTTTATAGCAGAGTAGTATTCCATTGTGTAGATATACCACATTTTCCGTATCCATTCATCTGATGGTGGACATTTGGGCTGGTTCCCACTCTTAGCTATTGCAAAGAGTGCTGCGATGAACATTTGGGAACAGGTATAACTTCAACTTGATGATTTCCATTACCCTGGGTATAGTCCCAGCAGTGGGATAGCTGGGTCATATGGTAGATCTATCTGTAATTGTTTGAGGAACCTCCATACCATTTTCCATAGAGGCTGCACCATTTTGCAGTCCCACCAACAATGCATGAGAGTTCATTTTTCTCCACAACCTCGCCAGCATTTATCATTCACAGTCTGTTGGATATTAGCCATCCTAACTGGGGTGAGATGGTATCTCAGTGTGGTTTTGATTTGCATCTCCTGAATGCAGAGTGATGTTGAGCATTTTTTTAATGTGTCTGTTGGCCATTCATATATCTTCCTTTGAGAAATGCCTGTTTAGCTCTTTTGCCCATTTTTAAATTGGGTTACTTGTTTTTTTTCTTGTTGTTTCAGTTCCTCATATATACTGGATATTAATCCTTTGTCAGATGTATATTTTGCAAATATTTTCTCCCACTCTGTTGGTGGTCTTTCAACTCTTTTAATTGTTTCTTTTGCTGTGCAGAAGCTTTTTAGTTTGATATAATCCCATTTGTTTATTTTTCCTTTGGTAGCCTGTGCTTTTGGGGTCATATTCATGAAGTCTGTTCTCAGTCCTACTTCCAGAAGTGTTTCTCCTATGTTTTCTTTGAGAAGTTTTATTGTATCAGGGTGTACATATAATTCTTTAATCCATCTTGAGTTGATTTTAGTGTATGGTGAGAGGTATGGGTCTAATTTCATTCTCCTGCATATTGATATCCAGTTAACCCAGCACAATTTCCTGAAGAGGCAGTCTCTTTCCCAGTGTATAGGCTTGGTGCCTTTGTCAAAGATCAGATGGCTGTAGGTGTGTGGGTTGATTTCTGGATTCTCTATTCTATTCCATTGATCAGTGTGTCTGTTTTTATGCCAGTACCATGCTGTGTTGGTTATTGTAGCTTTGTGATATAGTTTAAAGTCAGGTAGTGTTATGCCTCCAGCTTTATTTTTTTTCTCAGCATTCCTTTGGCTATGTGTGGTCTTTTGTTATTCCATATAAATGTCTGAATAGTTCTTTCCATTTCTGAGAAAAATGTCATTGGAATTTTGATGGGGATTGCATTGAATTTGTGAATCGCTTTGGGTAGTATGGACATTTTCACAATGTTGATTCTTCCAATACAACAGCATGGGATATCTTTCCATCTTCTTGTATCCTCTCTAATTTCTCTCAGCAGTGGTTTGTAGTTCTCATTATAGAGATTTTTCACATCCTTGGTTAACTCAATTCCTAAATATTTTATTTTTTTGGTGGCTATTGTAAATGGGCAGGCTTTCTTGATTTCTCTTTCTGCATGTTCACTATTGGAAAATAGAAATGCTACTCATTTTTGTGTGTTGATTTTGTATCCTGCTACTTTGCTGAAATCATTTATCAACTCCAAGAGTTTTTTTTATAGAGGCTTTAGGCTGTTTTATATACAGGATCATGTCATCTGCAAACAGGGACAGTTTGACTTCATCTTTTCCAATCTGAATGTCCTTTATTTCCTTCTCTTCTCTGATTGCTCTGGCTAGTACTTCAAACACTGTGTTGAATAGGAGTGGTGGGGGTGGGCATCCTTGTCTAGTTCCTGTTCTTAAAGGAAAAGCTTTCAGCTTTTCCCCATTCAAGATGATATTGGCAGTGGGTTTATCATATATGGCTTTAATTATGTTGAGATACTTTCCATCTATACCTAATTTAGAGAGGGTCTTTATCATGAATGAATGTTGAATTTTATCAAATGCTTTTTCAGCATCTATAGAGATGATTATATGGTCCTTGTGCTTGATTTTATTGATATGGTGTATAACATTTATTGATTTGCATATGTTGAACCAAGATTGCATCCCTGGGATGAATCCCACGAATGAGTTTGGGAGAATTGCCTCTGTTTCAATCTTTTGGAATAGTTTGTAGAGAATTGGTGTCAGTTCCTCTTTGAATATTTGGTAGAATTCTGCTGTGAATCCATCTGGTCCTGAGCTTTTCTTTGTTGGGAGCCTTCTTGTAACATCTTCAATCTCTTCTATTGTTCTTGGTCTGTTCAGATTTTCAACATCTTCTTGGCTACATCTTTTGGTAGTTTGTGTGTGTCCAGAAATTTATCCATTTCCTCCAGATTTTCAAATTTGTTGGCATATAGTTCTTTATAGTAGTCTCAAATGATTCCTTGTATTTCAGATGTATCAGTCGTAATATAACCTTTTTCATTTCTAATTTTTGTTATTTGGATCTTCTCTCTTCTTTTTTTAGTTAGCCATGCTAATGGTTTGTCAATTTTATTTATCTTTTAAAAAAAACAACTATTTGATTCATTGATCTTTGTGTTGTTTTTGGGGGTTTCAATTTCATTGAGTTCTGCTCTGATCTTAATGATTTCTTTCCGTCTGCTAACTTTGGGTTTTGATAGTTTTTGTTTTTCTAGTTCTTTAAGGTGAAGTATTAGGTTGTTCATTTGCCATCTTTCCATTCTTCTGAAGTAAGCATTTAATGAGATAAATTTCCCCCTTACTACTGCCTTTGCAGTATCCCACAAGTTTTGGTATGATGTATCATTATTTTCATTAGTTTCAATGAATTTTTTGATTTCCTGTTTGATTTCTTCTCTCTCTGTCTTTTAGTATTTTGAATATATCATCCCATTCCTTTCTGGCTTTTAGGGTTTGTGATGAAAAATCTGATGTTAGTCTGATTGAGGCTCCCTTATAGATGATTTGATACTTCTCTCTTGCAGCTTTTAAGATTCTCTCTTTGCCTTTGAGTTTTGCCAATTTGACTATAACATGTCTTGGAGAAGACCTTTTTGGGTTGAATACGTTTGGGGATCTTTGAGCTTCCTGAATCTGAAGATCTATGTCTTTTCCAATACCTGGGAAGTTTTCTGCCACTATTTTGTTGAATATGTTTTCAATGCAATCTCCTTTTTCCTCCCCTTCTGGAATACCCATGACTTGGATATTTGAGTGCTTAAGGTTGACTGATATCTCTCTTAGATTTTCTTCAATGCTTTTAATTCTTTTTTCTTTTTTTTTTTTGTCTGCCTGTGTTATTTCAAACAGCCAGCCTTCAAGGTCAGAAGTTCTCTCTTCTACTTCTGCAAGCCTGCTGTTTAAACGCTCTGTTGTGTTTTTTATTTTGTTGAATGAATTCTTCAGCTCGGCAAGCTCTGCTACATTCTTTTTCAGGGCATTGATTTTCTTGTACATTTCTTCCTTCAGGTCCTGTATACTTTTCCTTGTTTCATCATGTTGTCTAGCTGAATTTTCTTATATCTCCTTTGGTTTCCTTAGAATTATCACTCAAAATTCCTTATCAGACATTTCAAGGGCTTCTTGTTCTATAGGATCTAGAGCTTGAGAGTTATTACCCTTTGGTGGTGTACTTTCTTGATTTTTCATATTTCTGGTATCTTTCCTTT